ACTCCTTCTCCAACCGACCTAACAACCTCTTTGTTAGTTAGTGTGACACCAGTATGACACCCTGGTGTATTCCTCACAGTTACAATATGGGGCCACAGTATTATTGTTGTACCTGATTGGGGATAACTAGCAGAAATATAGTTATCCCATGATTATGGATGTTACCAGTAATAAAGTTTGTTATGGGTTGTGAGTACGTACATTTCATATGGACTACCAACTGAGTTCTAGTGAAGGTACCATATGTAAGCTTGTCATGTGGTGTGTTCTTTTAAATGTACAACCCCTAATGATGTAATAAGCAAGAGTATCTAATTTTAATTGCAGATGAGTAAAGCCAAGGAGTTAATCCTTGTAGTTGTATATTAATGACATCTTTAACCTAATTTAATTTTATATTAATAAGCCATGTTTAGAGTATGTTGGGGGCACCATTTTCCCCTCAGTATCTACCTTTATTCTTGTCCAATAACTTGATACCAGAATTACAGAACCCATGTGCCCTAACCCTCACCATGCTACCAAAGGTCAGAGGTTATGGAGTAACTATATGAGATGAAATGATTAGACAAAACTAATGGAGAAAATGAATTAATAAACAGACAAATAAAGAAAAGCCCCCACCCCCGCCCTTATAGCCAGCGGAAGGAATACTATTTGAACAAAAAACTAGGACATAGGAATATGTGTTCGGAGTTTCGACGACTTGTAACATTGTTTTCCATAACTGGTGGTAAACAGAACGTATCTGACTGGCTACACCTAAATTTTCATTCATTAATATATATATATATATATATATATATATATATATATATATATATATATATATATATATATATATATATATATATATGCAGGTATACAATGTACATAGTACAAGTAAATCAACAACGATAAACAATAGGTCAATTCAACCACGGCTAACCCATCATGAAGTTTAGGTTATAATTACGTCGATATGAACTTTTAACGTAAAGTTAAATACATTCTCTAATCTCCAGCTAAGAAATAGAAAATTTTAAATCTTGTTCAAGTCTGAAAAACTGACCCCCTGGTTCAGAATGCACGCGCGGAGCAACCGTGTTTACTTGACCACAATTAAGGAGCGGCCCAGACATCTCAACTATTTACTCACTTCCTATCACCTGTCACACTCACACGTCCCAATAGAGATTAACAGAGGACAGTTCTGTGCTAATATTACTTCGAATCACCTGAGGATTATACACCTCAGCTTAGTTATATGTGATGATTAATAACCCGCATGTGTTAGGTGTTAATCATTGCGTGAAAAAAGCTGATGGTGCTAATCTTTAGGCGATTCCTACATTTTAATCCAAGAACCGGAAAAGCCATGTCACCTGGTGTGAATTGGCACTTCGCTCAACTCCGAAGTCTTACCTACAACGATGGTGCTGACAGGGAAGGACGTGATGGTAGCAAATTATATGGTGATGGTGATAACGGAGGGATGTAATGGTGGAAGTTGCGGGGAAGGACGTGATAGTAGCAAGGAAGGGTGTGATAGTAGCAGGGAGGAGTGTGATGGTGGCAAAGAAGGATATGGTGATGGTAGCCCTGTTACCGTAGCAGGGAAGGCTGTGGTGGTGGTGGTGGAGGGGAAATTGGAAGGGTACGGAATTCGGGGAAATGTCCTAGCGTGAATTGAAGACTTTCTACATGACTACAAGCAGTGTGTGGTGATTAATGGCACGAAATCATCATCCGTACCTGTCACAAGCGGGGTACCACAGGGCAGTGTATTGGGCCCGCTGTTGTTTGTTTGTTTCATAAATGACATGCCTGACGTTGTACACTCCTCCATACAAATGTTTGCCGATGACGCCAAGTTATTTCGGGAATTCAAGAACCAAGCGGACTGTGAAGAGCTGCAGAAGGACCTCTATGGGCTCCAAGAATGGTCGAAGAAATGGCTGCTGAGATTCAGTGTCACGAAGTGTAAGAGAATGCACCAGGGGCGTACCAACGGTAAGGAGGCGTATCATATGTCCCAACGGGATGAAGAAACTGCACTATTTGAGACTGAATGTGAGAAGGACCTAGGTGTGTATGTTGACAATGAGCTGAAGTTCTCGGGCCATTGCGAGAAGAAGGTAAATCGGGCAAATAAATTATTGGGTCTTATAAGAAGGTCATTCAAATATCGTAACGATTTTCAAGAGTGAAGTCCTTCCCCACCTGTCACCCCGTCTGGTCCCCGAGATATGCTAGGGACAGCCAGTTGGTTAAAAATGTTCAGCGGAGGGCCACCAGCCTGCACTTCGGCACCTCAGCTACCCTGAGAGAATGGAGCCCCTGAACTTGCCTAGCTTATATTACAACCTGGCAAGGAGTTACCTAAATGAGGTGCATAAGCATCTCAAGGGGCACTACTCAGTCGAGTGTCCTTACTTGGAGCTGGCGGACGCTCGCCCCACAAGGAGTCACAGCTCAAGATTGAAGAAGCCGCAGGTCCAGAAAACTGTGAGGGCAAACTTCTTCGGAGTGAGAGTTGTGAACTCTTGGAAAAGTCTTACAGAAAGTGTTCTGACGGCACCGAGTGTGAGGTCTTTCAAGGCCAGACTTGACCAACACTGGAGCAGGTTCAGGTACATTCAGGAGCCTGTGCATGCCCAGTACTTGCCAACAGTGAGTAACAGAGACGTGGCCGATCGCCCAAGCGGCTAACGAGCCGATCATTTGGTGATGAGAATAAAAGAAAAAGAAAAGTGACAGAGACGTGACCGATCGCCCAAGCGGCTAACGAGTCGATCAGTGGCGAAGAGGATAAAAGTAAAGTAAAAGAAAGATAGACCCACTTTGCTATTTCCGGCCATTGTCATGAACTGATAGCAGTGATCCTCTCACGCGGGGCGGTGTAGCTCGCCAACACATGACTGAACTGTCTTAATGAACCGATGTTGACTTCAGTTGAGGTGAGAAGCAGATTAGAGTACTGTACTGGACTAGATAAATAGGCGGATGTATATAAATTAATTATTCATTCAGCAGATATCCACCCAGTAAAACCGTTATTCAGGTTCACATTGACTCAGCATGTAAACTGTATACTGATAATGCAGGTGTACGTACATCGACAGTGCAGATATACAATATAATTAGACAGTGGAGGTAAACAATGTATACATAGACATAAGAATGGAGGAAACTGCAGCGGGCCTATTGGCCCGTACTGGGCAGTCCCATTTACACGCAATCCCTATCCCTCATATATCTATCCAACCTATGTTCAGGGGCGTCATTTCAGATTTTGCTTATTTTGGGGGGCAACACCATTACATGCAAAGAGGAGGGGTAAAAATCCTGCTCCACGTGGTGCCACCGGGTGGTGCTGTAACAGACGGAACATGTTCTAACACGTTTTATATTTTCAATTTGCATCTGTCCGGTGTGGACCGTGTGGCTGCTGCCCGGTGTGGACCGTGTGGCTGCGAGCAATATGACTAACTTCCTTGCTGCTATTCAGTTTATAAATAATAGGCAATGGGAACGATGAAAATAGATGAATATTCATAATTTTGTTTAAATATGCATAGTAAAAATACCATTGAGATGTTCTCACCAAATCCAAATTCGTCTATATGAAAAAAGAATATAATTGCACTTTTCCTTGGAGAGCAAGACAGCCTTTGGGAGGGGCAAGACAGCCCTTGGGAGGGGCAAGACAGCCCTTGGGAGGGGCAAGACAGGTCTTGGGGAGGGCCAGTCTGCCCCCCCCCCCCCTAAATGACACCCCTGCCTATGTTTGAAGCTATCCAACGTATTCGAGTTAATGATGATGTTTGGTAACTTGTTCCACCCATCCACTACTATATGTCCAAACCGGTATACGGACAAAACCCCAATGGACAAAACCCCAACGGACAAAACCCCAGTGGACAAAACCCCAGTCTCATATATAAAATAAGAAATAAAACACTTTCATGTTTGCAAACACAATTATATATACATTTTATTTTTCACACTCCACAAAACCCTTTTACATTTGTAGGTAACTGACACCTGCAATATGCTGTATGGTCCACTGATGAGAATGGTGAAAGGAAATAAAATCACAGGAAAAAAAGTCACATGACTTGTACACATTGACAACACATTATATACATGATGGCATTGCACGTAGGTCGTAGGTTAGGTTAAGTTAGGTTAGGTTCGGTTAGTTTAAGTTAGGTTGGGTTGGGTTAGGTTAGGTTTTTTCCGTTGAGGTTTTGTCCACTTTTCATATAATGGGTTGAGGTTTTGTCCACTGGGGTTTTGTCATGGATTTTTCCAAACCAATGTTTACCCCTCTCGCGCCTAAATCTAAATTTGTCTAATTTAAAACCATTGTTACGAGTTCGCTTCTGGTTGGATAGTTTAAGTATTTTTGTTATATCACCTTCGTTTGCCCTGACTTCCATTTATACACCTCGATCATATCGCCCCTCACTCTACAGTACGTCTCTCGAGGGATTGCAGATGAAGATTAAGATGAGTTTATAGAAGAAATCAATTACATATTATTGATTGTGGTAATTACATCCCTGGCAAAATTTCAAATTACAGAACACAGTAATGAAGATATTCTATGCAAAGTACGATATTAGCATAAATTTGGAAACACAATTTTTTGTAGAAAATAGGATATCATATACGCACAGTATAAGCTTACATGAAGAATCCATTGCAGATAAGGTAATGAACTGTGCAATTATGACTATAAAGTGGTTTGATGTTCAACAACATGACGCAACTCGTAACTTCGGTCCACACTGCCAGACGTAGGATCATTTATATGACCGGATAAGGAATAGGAAAAACATATTTTTAAGAGTAAAATTATAACAATATTAACGAATATGTTTTTGTATAATGTTAAAGATATATTCAAATATAAGATTAGATCAGCTTCAGAGAAATTTAGTCGTGGGTGTACAAAGTTTTTCCCACACGCCGAGTGACTATGACGGAACCGAGCGTTCAGTCACTCACGGACACCCAGTGCACTGTTCGTTAGATTATATTTCACGCTGGCTGAGATTACTGTGGGATGTAATTGATTGTCACAGTAATATTATCAGTGATAGACGACAAATCCAGATTCATAATTAGGAATTTTTGTCGGCCTTATAAGAGACTCCACAACTAAAACATGTCAAAAGACAGAGTAAGTAAAATGATCGTGTTTATTTGTGACATTTAGGGACTAGCCATCACTTCATCTGATCAGTGTTGATTTTTTTTTCTTTTACCATATTCCCAAATCGCTTAGTTTCATTTTAAAAATTAAATATTACTTTGTGAATTATGAGAAACAAATTGGATCTAGATAAATAGTGACGTTTTCTGGATAATAAATCGCCTTTGATATGGATGTGCTGCACCTGTTACGGGTAAGCAGTTTCCATTACCCCCAGATAAAGACGAACTCATTCCTGTGACACGTAGTAAACCTTAAAAGGGTGGAGTGTGCAACAGGGTGACACAACTGTTGAACCACACTGGCTAACTTACTCATTGCTTGTGTCACCAGGAAGAGCATTAAGACCAACGTGTTTTATCTGGTGTCGTGTGAGAGATGACTGTCCTACCCAGAAGTCATTGACCCTTTTCTGTGACATTAATTTGATCTGTTTCTTTGGGTAATATTGGCTTACGTAAGATATTTATGAAATTTGGAACTTTTGCACGTCAACCGTATAGACTCCCGTAGCACGTTTCTTTGAACATTGCCTTGGATATATTGCAAGGAATCGCCCTAACGCTACCTAAGGTTAGGGTACTTAATTTTATGGTAATTTAAGCTGGGGAGCTAATCTTAAGGTCACATACGAACTAGAAAAACCTAGTACAACCTTACGTAATTAAAAACTAATTACAAGAACACTTGGATAGGTTTCTTGTGCTTTGTTGCGTTATGGCAGGGCTTTGAAGAAGAGGGAAAATGTGGGGTTAAAACACGTAAAACATAGCACCCTATTCTAAAGAATAACAAAGATAGTATGGAGGTTAGTTCTTATTATGTGTAACCGCCTTAATTATCCATGGAGAGATTGGGCATTTGTACTATAAATAAGGTTAATATTCGGTAGTGACTGCAGGGAACTCAACAGTATATTGAATTGTATAACGCTGGAGGATTTGATGTAACACCTTGAAAACGGTGCTACTATAGCGTGCGGTCTCCAAAGATATATTTAATTCTAACCAATCCTAGATCTCCTACCTTAAACTTCAATCTTTAGTACCATATAGCATGGCATCTCTTATCTTTCATGTACAGTACAGGATAGCATCATGTCCCCGGAACGTATTGTTCACCGTGGCATTTTCTACGCTACGCGTATTATGCAGCCTGGCAGCATGTTCCCAGCACGTAGCACTGTACAGCATAGCATCATGTATTTGGCACGTACTGTACAACGTGGCATCTTTTACCGAACCCACACGGGGTAATAATATTCTGGATTTAGTTCTGTCGAACAGAGAAAACCTCATTAGCAATGTTGAGGTAGGGAACGAACTTGCAAACAGCGATCACAAAGAAATTCGATTCCAGTTAGATTTTCAGGGCAGACGTAAGGAAAATTCCACTAAAGTACCAGATTTCAGAAGGGCAAACTTTGATAGTTTAAAGAGGCAGCTGAGAGAGGGGGTGTCGCGCTTGGCCGTGAACCTGACAGATGACACCGACCTGATAACGAGATCTGAGATTGCCGAGTTCCACGACAATTTAAATAGTGAGTTACTTAATGCACAAAGGCAGAACATACCATACAAAAAACTCAGATCAGACAACAATGACCCTAAATGGATAAATAATTATTTAAAGAACATCATTGGCCAAAGGAAGGCTATAGGTAGAAGGATAAATCGTGGCGAAATTCACCTCCGGGACTATTATAGGGTATTGGCGAGTAGGGTTAAAACCGAGATAAGGAAAGCAAAGAGGAATAATGAGGTAAGGATAGCAAGGGAGGCGAAGACAAACCCCAAAGGATTCTACCAAATGTATCAAACTAAAACCCGAGAAAAGATTGGACCAATACCGTCAGACTCCGGCGAGCTCACTGATAACGATGGAGAAATGAGCAATAATTTGAATAAATATTTTTCAACAGTTTTCACCACCGAAAATTTAAACATGATACCCGAGGCACCGACTCTATTCAGAGATAGTGAAGAAAACAAATTAAGTGAGATAGTTGTGACTAGTAACGATGTTAGTAAGCAAATAGACAAATTAAAGCCTAATAAGTCACCTGGTCCCGATGAGATATTTGCCAGAGTATTAAAGGAATGTAAGGAAGAGCTTAGTATGCCCTTAGCAAAGTTGTTTAACATGTCCTTAAAAACAGGTGTAGTACCAGAATCCTGGAGGATAGCAAATGTAATACCGATTTTCAAGAAGGGGGATAGATCACTATCCTCTAACTACTGCCCAATCAGTCTAACATCAATAGTAGGCAAATTACTGGAAGCAATCATTTCAAACTCTATTCGAAATCACCTGGAGAAGCACCTATTGATCAATGATTCCCAGCATGGCTTCACAAGCAGACGTTCTTGCCTAACTAATCTATTAACATTCTTTTCATCAGTTTTCGAATCGGTGGACGAGGGGCACAATTATGATGTGGTATATCTCGACTTTAGTAAAGCCTTCGACAGAGTCCCCCACGAAAGACTAATTAGAAAGGTAGAAGCTCATGGCATCAAAGGGACATCCTTAAATGGATTAGGGCGTGGTTACAGGACAGGAAACAGCGAGTGAGCATTAACGGCACTAGTCCCATTGGAGCAACGTCACAAGTGGAGTTCCCCAAGGCTCAGTACTTGGACCATTATTGTTTATTATATACATAAACGACATAGATATCGGCATAGACAGCAACATAAGTAAATTTGCTGATGACACTAAAATAGGACGTGTTATCAAATCTGACGAGGACTCGGCAAAACTACAGGAAGATCTAAACAAATTTTTCGAATGGTCTGAAAAATGGCAGATGAAATTCAACGTCGACAAATGTAAAGTGCTCAGTATAGGAGTTGTAAACAGGGAAACCAGATACCAGATGAACAACGATGCCATAGAGAAATCCGATTGCGAGAGGATTTAGGAGTAATGATAAGTAGGAACCTTAAGCCAAGTAAACAATGTGTTTTTGCTCGTAACAAGGCTAATAAAGTACTTGGGTTCATACAAAGGAGTGTTAGTTACAAGACTAGCGAGGTCATCCTAAAACTGTATCTTGCTCTTGTGAGACCACACCTGGATTACGCAGTTCAGTTCTGGTCACCGTATTACAGAATGGATATAGAATCCTTGGAAAGAATTCAGAGGAGAATGACAAGACTAATCCCGGGCATTAGGAACCTTGAGTATAGAGACAGGTTAAAGCATCTTAATTTGCACTCCCTTGAGAGACGTCGAGCGAGGGACGACCTGATAGAGGTGTATAAGTGGAAGGCAGGGCTAAACAAAGGGGACATTACAAAGGTACAGTACTCAAATTATCCAACCAGGAGCGAACTCGTAACAATGGTTTTAAATTAGACAAATTTAGATTTAGGCGTGAAATAGGTAAACACTGGTTTGGAAACAGAGTAGTGGATGAATGGAACAAGTTACCAAATATCATCATAAACTCGAATACGCTGAATTGCTTCAAACATAGGTTGGATGCTCATATGAGCAATAGGGGTTGGGTGTAAACGGGACTGCCCAGTATGGGCCAATAGGCCCGCTGCAGTTTCCTCCATTCTTATGTTCTTATGTTTTATCCTCCACGTGTTGCACAACATTGCATTCTGTACCCCATGTACTCTGCTCAGAAATTTTTCAATCATCCGTACTCAACCACTAAGACACGATAAACATGTATTTTTATTTTCTGCCTCGTACCCTAGCTTTTATGTAAGGCAGAATTTTCACCACTAGAGTAAATGTTATACTGTATTTCCGAAGATACTGGGTACTACAGGATCGCCCGCGCCTTGTTTATGTGGCTAAGCTCTTGAAAGAGTGGATAGCAATTGTTGATATTTAGCGTGTGTGAAGTCTACAGTACCATGCATCATTCATCGTGTGTCCGACTAAAAGCGTCCACATACATCCATTAAACTTGAAATTTGTGTGCGAACCATGTTTAGTTTGTGTTATGGCGAAACTGACATTGGAAACCGGACCCATTGGTTGGTCGTTTAACAATTGTTTATCGAATCTTTATCTGAACCTTGAATGTTTGATATTAGAAGCGTAAATAACAGTTGCGATAATACAGTAGTACAGTATAAGTTATAACGATAATTGTATGAACGATAATAATTATAAAATTGATAATGATGATAAAACAGTAATTGGTAAAATTATTATTATTATTATTATTGTTATTATTCTAATGCCAACAGCTTGAAAAAAGTTTTGTATTAAACTTGGTATTTTAACAAGGAATGTATTTCCAATGTAATTACCAATGTAATGATTTTAATTGTTAGTTTAGTGAGTGTAAAAGTTCTGGTATCCCTGTAGGGGAAGGGTGCCCCCCTCACTTAGAAAACGAGTCAAATTTCTGGAGTGAACAAAACTAGAACTTGGAGCAATGTGCAGCCTGAGTAAAGTTGCTTTACATCATTTGCCTCTGTCTACCCAGCAATAATTGGGTACCAGGATGTTAATCGATTTGCGTATCGTATTCCGGGGTAATGGTTAGCCAGTGCAGTTGGCGAGTAGTCCAGTCTTCCCTGACTATTCCTTGACACTGAGATTCCGCGGTGAGCAGAGCTGGTGAGGCGACTGATAGTAGCATTATACTGTATTCGACTCCTATGCGTTTATAAAATTTAATTTACTGTTAAACATAAAAGTCCATATTTTTTTTAGAAAGTTAAATAGTAAATTCGATGGTGTGTAGAGTGAACCTGGTCGAGGTGTGGTTATATTAGTGAGGAATTCTTGTATTTCTCTTGTAGACAAAGTAAATTTCTTGAATGGTCATTTGTGTGATAAAGCGGTATGGTGTGAGATCATTATGAAAAGGAAAAATATACTAATTGGTGCTGTGTATAGGGCTCCTATTACAAGTCGTGAGATTTTTTCTTTTTATTGAATTACTTAACCAAGTTGTTTCCTTCCTCGTGGATGTATGTTAAATCTCCTTGTTTTGCTCTACTAAGATACTATTCCTGCTGTAACTATGTCTTCTCGTGGTTGTTTGAACAATCCAAACGTATTCTGCTACATATGTGGGGGGTCCGACCAATTACCCAAATGTATCCAAATATAGCCGGAATGAAGTCAAATAATGGTCCTAGATGAATAAATCGGACTGCCAATCACTTCTCGACTAGTATATGGTGTCAGAAAGTCACAAAAAATTGGTAAACTTAATTTAATCTGAGTTAATAGATCGAGAGCATGTACCTAACCTAACCTAACCTCGACTAGTATTTGGTGTCACGAAGTCACAAAAAATTGGTAAACTTAATTTAATCTGAGTTAATAGATCAAGTGCATGTACCTAACCTAACCTAACAACACAACTCAGATTAAATTAAGTTTACCAATTTTTTTTTACTTTATGACACCAAATAATAATCGAGAAGTGATTCACAGCCCGAATTACGCTTGTACGACCATCATTTGACTTCATTGCGGCTACATTTGGTTACATTTGGGTAATTCCTCGCTCCGTCGGTACATGCACGCGATCTATTAACTCAGATTAAAGTAAGTTTTCCAATTTTTTGTGACTTTCTGACACCAAATACTAGTCGAGAAGTGATTAGCAGTCCGATTTATTCATCTAGGACCATTATTTGACTTCATTCCGGCTATGTTTGGCTACATTTGGGTAATTAGTCGGACCGTATGTGGATGCTTTGTGCATAAGCAACGACAAGAAATAGTCACATCCGTGAAAAATGCATATTTTGCCTACTCTCGGGTGAAAATTGGCGATTTAGATAAACCATGGGCGCCACATAAAGTATGACGCACTTGTGTTGAAGGTTTAAAACTGTGGAAATATGGTAAGAAAAAAGTTATGCCATTTGGAGTCCCTGTGGTATGGCTGGAGCCTAAAAATCATGGTGATGACTGTTTTTTTGCTCTGTGAAGATAGAGAGATGTAATGCAAAAAAATAAACAAGGAATCGTTTATCCCAACATTCCATCTGCCATGAGACCAGTGCCACATGGTCCCGAGGTTCCAGTCCCCATTCCGCCAGAGGTGTTGCATTCCTTGTCATCAGAATCTGACCATGATTCACCGTCAGATAACGGAAGTGATGTTTATCAACCTGAAGATATTAGTGATGTACCGGAGGTGTTTACCCTGAGTGAACTTATCGATCTGATTAGGGATTTGAATTTACCAACGGAGTCTGCTGAACTTTTAGGATCTAGGTTGAAAATCAAAGAAGTTATTGAGCAAAGGGACATATTTTTCATGGTATAGGCAACGTGAACAAGAACTAGTTCAAATTTTTTCAGAGGAAGGCTCCTTGGTTTATTGTAGTAATGTCTGCTTTAATTAACTATTTTGACATTACCTATACAGCTACTGAATGGAGGTTGTTCATTGATTTTTCAAAAACAAGTCTCAAAGGAGTTTTACTTCATAATGGAAATGTATTTTCATTAATTCCTGTGGCTCACTCTGTTTATCTTAAGGAAACATGAAAATTTGCAGGTACTTCTCGAAAAAGTTCATTATAAAGATAATGGTTGGTTGATTTGTGGAGATTTCAAAGTCAATGCTTTGTTGCTTGGTCAACAGAGTGGATACACGAAAATACCATGTTTTTTGTGCAAGTGGGACAGCAGAGCGAGACGTGTACATTGGGACAAAAAAACACTGGTCACCAAGACAGGCTCTTGTGCCAGGTTCAAAAAAATACTCTGCTTGATCCATTGATTGACCCTAAGAAAGTGCTGTCGCCTCCACTGCATATTAAATTAGGGTTAATGAAGCAATTTGTAAAAGCCCTGGATAAGGAAAATGATTGTTTCAGGTACATATGCAGGGAATTTCCATTAGTTTCATATGAAAAAATCGAAGCTGGCATTTTCATGGCCCTCAAATCCGAAACTTAATGTTGGACCACCAATTTGAAGAATCGATGAACCAGTGTGAGATAGAAGCATGGGATAGTTTCAAGAATGCTGTGTATAGTTTTTAGGCAATATAAAAGATCTCTACTATCAAAACATTGTTGAAGTTATGTTGAATAACTTTAAAAACATGGTTTGCAGTATGAGTGCGAAAGTGCATTTCTTTCATTCCCATCTTGAGTATTTTCCTGAAAATTTAGGTAGTTTAAGTGAAGAGTAAGTTGAAAGATTTCACCAGGACATTAAGGAAATGGAAAAAAGGTACCAAGGAAGGTGGAATGTGAACATGATGGCAGACTACTGCTGGATGCTGAAGAGAGACTGTGCCAGTGAACAGATTGCCAGAAAATCGAAAAAAAAGTATCACTCATCCTAGAAGCCTAATATTAGGTTCATACATATTCATATACTGTATATCATTTCTTTCTGTATTTGCAAGCAAATAGCCTTATTCGCAATACTCTTTTGATTTAGTTAACTTTGAAGCCTATTGAATTGTCTTATCTGTATTGTAATATTTGTATGTTGTATTTGTATAATTTATAATATCTTGTCTTATTGGTAATAAGTGCGACGTGCTAGAGCAAAACAAGGTTTATTTTTGAAATCCTTGATAAAAAACGAATCTGAATCACGTCTGTTTTAAAACATTCAACTTTTCTTAAAATGCAGACCGGTGGAAAAACAACCATACACTTGGCTCATACATCATAAATAAGCACACACACACCTTCCTTCCAGCCTAGTATATATGGGTTTCAAAATGCTCAGAATAGGGAGATCAATTCAATTTCAATTGTTTATTCCTTGACAGAGGAAGCGGGATCCTAGTGCAGTCACTAGGTACCCCTGTACAATGACAACAGAAGCATCTGGCAAGTGTGACAAGTATATACAGCATAAATATTATAAAGGGGCTTACTAAAGCCTAAGGAAGGAAGGATATTCCTTTAACACATAATCAGTGTTTTTTTTACGAAATATCTGGCCAGTATGGGGAGGATCATCGTGTCTCCGTCGGGGGGTCGTGGAGTGGTGGTCCAGCAGGCGTCACGGAAGCGTTATGTGTGGGGACATCTTAGGAGGTAGTGGATAAGGGTGCTGCTGTCGGGTCTTCTGCATAATGCACAAGAGCTATAGGGAGATTTAAATGTTTATATCCTCAGTAAATATATATATATATATATATATATATATATATATATATATATATATATATATATATATAAATAAGGGTAACACATCCTGACCTTAAGGTAAGACTAAATAAACTGTATTAATGTAATATCATCCACACAACATCCTGACCTTAGGGTAACACTCACTAAACTGTATTAAAATATGATTTAAGCAATACCAAACGTATAAGCACGTGCGTGTCATAGGAATGCAAGTCCATCATCTACGCAGAACTGACTTCAACTGAGGCTGACTGCAGAGCAACGCCAACCGACTGCTGTCCGAATGAGTCGTACGTCTGGCACTTCATTTTTACCTAAAGCTTCACTTTTAACTGCTACACCGGCCATCCTCATTACACGAGGGACAACCACTATTATTATATAAGATGTCACTAGGCTAGATCGTGTCCATAATATGATAGTTATTAGTGGTTAGTGAGGCCATTTTAGATAGCTAATACATTGTGTTTATTTAATCTGAACACACTTGTCGCATTGTGTTGGACTTAAGAATTGTCACCCCCAACAGGCGGATAGTGCAGTGGAGGTGGACGTGTGGGACGACGCCCAGCGCGCCACCTCTCACGACGACGACGATGACATCACTGACGACGTGTTCGAAATGTCGTCGACGTCGGTCAACTCCCACGACAAAGATAACAAGCACACCAGTAACCCCACCTCTCTACCCCAACAACGGAAGATGGTGAGTATCTAGCGCTTCATATCTCTTACACACACACCAATAAACAACTTTATGGAACCATATGTTAGCTTTTGCATAAGTTGATGTGAGTATTCTGGAAAAGCTTGAGGGTAGAAGGTAATGTGTCGAGGTACGGTAGTGGATTGTGTCTAAGAGGGTGAGGTTTGATATATTGTATGGTAGTTTATACTAAGGTTGCTTGAGGAAGGTACGTTTAAGTGCGAGTGGTTAATCTTATGATGAAATAAGTTGGTGGGGGCGAATCTTTAGGGGATAGTCTTTATTATTTGTGTCATGTGTTCATTCATCTTATGGTTGATGCAGTGTGTGTTCAGCGGGCCTCGAGCTGAGTCACACAAGGAGGAGGGCCAGCGGGGTCGCGTGTTGCTTCACCACCGTCAGAAGGAGCTTCACCACCTCTGGGATGTTGGCAGCCGACGGTACGCGGGTCATGTCAGCACCACTAGCATCATTACTCGACTTCATCCTAACTTCTGTGTCAGCACCGCCCATGAACCTGTACATCCGCCCACGCCACCCGCAACGCCCACCTTGGTCCTGTCACAGTTGCCAAGTTCGCCTACACTTACAACAGAGGACCACGGTGGGATGGTGACCCTCCAGTCTCTCAACTGTCGCGGCGACTCGGGCTATATTCCCTCCCCCTCCTCCACAAACTCATTCACCTTCTCCAGTGATGAAGATGAACCTAGGGCGGCTGCCGCTTCTCGCCTGGGTGTCACGCCGCCCATAGACATCCCGTGTGCCCGTCGACGACCCGCCCATCAGCTGGCCATCAAGGAGCAGCGGCACCAGGAAGAAGCCACACCCAAGGCTTCCCCAGTACAAGACTGGACACCCGTACAGCGAGGACGCTTACGTTCCTGCCCTGAGCAGATAACGCCTTCCGTGCCACTTCGCGCCCCCGTGCTCAGGTTCCCAACCATCCACGGTCGTCACTGGTCTAACCCGGCCACTACACCCGACGGCCAACCACTCCTGACGGCACCGGCAATAGACACGAGGACCAACACCTCCAGGGACAGGCTCATTGATCTGACGGAGGAGGGAGGTGGTGAGTACAACACACATATATATATATATATATATATATATATATATATATATATATATATATATATATATATATATATCTATCTATCTATATCTATCTATCTATCTATCTATCTATCTATCTATCTATCTATCTATCTATCTATCTATCTATCTATCTATCTATCTATCTATCTATCTATCTATCTATCTATCTATCTATCTATCTATCTATCTGTATACATACATAGTGTAGTGATATAATATTTTCCCGTGTGATTTTATCAAAATATACAGTATATATACAGTACCTAATACTGCACTGTGTAGTGATGAGACCTCGGCACTTGGTAGTGACCCTGTGTGTGTGTCCTTAGTATTGTTTGGATTTACTCGATTTGTATCTACTGACTTGTTACTGTAGGCGGGTGACGTGGCTAGTACTAACTGGTGACATGGCTAGTACTAACTGGTGACGTGGCTAGTACTGGCTAATGATTTTCAGTGTCGATATGGGAGTGTGTTCCGAGTACAGTGCCATTCAATACGTTACAATTTTTATCGGTTTTTCCCAAATTAAAAAAAAAATAGTTGATTGGCCTGAAGATCAGACACCCCAGCTGAGGTGTAATCTCCTGGTGATTCAGTAGGCTGGGGTGTCTTATCTCCAGGTGATTCAATAAGCTGGGGTGTCTAACCTCCAGGTGATTCAATAAGCTGGGGTGTCTAACCTCCAGGTGATTCAATAAGCTGGGGAGTCTAATCTCCAGATGATTCAATAAGCTGGGGTGTCTAATCTCCAGGTGATTCAGTAAGCTGGGGTGTCTAATCTCCAGATGATTCAGTAAGCTGGGGTGTCTAATCTTCAGGTGATTCAGTAAGCTGAGGTGTCTAATCTCCAGGTGATTCAGTAAGCTGGGGTGTCTAATCTTCAGGTAATTCTATAAGCTGGGGTGTCTAACCTCCAGATGATTCAGTAAGCTGAGGTGTCTAATCTCCAGGTGATTCAGTAAGCTGGGGTGTCTAATCTCCAGATGATTCAGTAAGCTGGGGTGTCTAATCTCCAGATGATTCAGTAAGCTGGGGCGTCTAATCTCCAGATTCAGTAAGCTGGGGTGTCTAATCTTAGGTAATTCAATAAGCTGTGGTGTCTAATCTCCAGATGATTCAGTAAGCTGGGGCGTCTAATCTCCAGTTTCAGTAAGCTGGGGTGTTTAATCTCCAGATGATTCAGTAAGCTGGGGTGTCTAATCTCCAGATGATTCAGTAAGCTGGGGTGTCTTAATCTTCAGGTCATCCAAGGATGCCTAACATTAAAACCTCGATTTGATTTCAGAGATGGAGAATCCTGCTGTGTGAATTTACATTATGGGAAGTAAGTGTGTGTGTGTCGCTCTTCTTCTGTCATTCCTTCACCTATCTCGTGGCGGATCTGGTCAGTATCTTCAGGTGGTCGCATCCCGTCAGCCGCTATCGCCTCGGACCTTGACCCCGTACAGTGTGTTTCCTGGGGATGGCGCGGCGGGAACGTCAGTTGTGTACAATGATCTGTGGCTGCCTACCTGGTCATGTTTACTTGTCTGTGATGATGGTAGGGCGGGGATGGGAGTGTGGCAGGGGGTACTCGCTACTCTCCCGTGGGTGGTAGGTGGCGCTGTTTCCCGGTTTAGAGTCACGTCCATATTATGAGGTGTGTGTTGTTTCCCTGTAGTGATAAGAGGTGAAGCAGATGAAGTACGGCTGTTTATCTCTCTTTAGCCTGGCGGTCAAGAGATACATCACCTCATTTACAATGGTTACAGTTCATATTTTGTTCATTGAATCACGCATATTTATTTCCGTGTGTGGTTGGGTTTGGTTAGGTTAGCATAAGAGTGTTTAATCATCCGGTGAAATAAGCTGGGGGAGTTCCTAATCTTCATGAGGAGGTCTGTACACATCTGGTGTTTTCATTATCTAGGGAAGTGAAAACGTGATCTAGAAAGGACAGGGTAGTGTGTGTGTTGTCGAGGGGGGGGGGGTGCGGTGCCTCCACTGGTCAGTGGTCACACGTTCGGTTCATGGTGAGTTAGATGGTGACACGCTCCGCACAAAGCTCATCCACGGTGCTTGGTGTTCTTCTGTTTTTGTTGTGTTAAAACTCTCGGTGTGGTGCGTGATGGCTCCTTGTCACCGTGAGACTTCACACTTCTCATGGTTCTGGGATTTTTGAAAGACCTTGATATTTATGGTGTTGACAAAGGCTCCTGGTTATCCTTAACCAAGAGAGATTAGAGCGTCTCAGTTGCTTAGTTTATACTTCAGGCGGGTAAGGGGAGATTACTAGAAAGTTATAAGCACTTCAAAGGACATTACTGTCAGGTGTTCATATCTGGAACTAGCGGATGTCCTCCCCACTAGAGGTTAAAGAAGCTACATGTACAGACAACTGTCAGAGCTAACTTCTTTGGATTATGATTTGTGATATATATTTCTATGATAACCTGCCAGAGAATGTTATGATAGCACCGAGTATAGGCAACTTTGAGACCCGAGTTGACCAACTCTAATATTATGTTGAGGTACAATCTCGTTCAAGATTCTTCGAACACTGCTGGCAACTAGGGACCGTTTGTTTATTATAGTACGGAGTATAAATTATGAATGAATGTAAAAGTGATTGGTTACCTAGGTCCCTGTTGCTTAATTAATGGTTGGGCTTGTTTACTATAGTAAACAAACGGCCTTGAGTTGCCAGCCATCTCCAGCAGTGTTGGAAGAATCTTGAACGAGACTACATTCAAGAGCCCGTGCCTGACTAGTACACAACAGCGTACTGGGGTAGTGAGCTCATCAGGGGTGAAAGGGATAGAGTAAATTTATTGTATCTATATTGTTATGTTGAACTGTTATATTTATATTTGTAATAAATAGTGAAGGGAGAGATGAACGTCACTGCCAGATCTACTCAACGAAGTAGGAGGTTTTGGTGTGTTGGAAGGTTATCAACTATGTCTCAACCTGGCATCACCTTACCATAGAAACATTACACAGTCTGTTGTGCTCATTCATCTGTGTCCTGATCAATTGTTCACCCTTTCACTGCGGGGACGCTCTTTTTAATATTTTATTTTCTCATCCTAGACGGTTTTATTCAGCACAGAGACGCCCCCCACCACCCCCGTATACAAGATTCAAACATTTCTGTCTCATTCCACACACTTAGTATCATCCTCCTCCTTATCAGAGAAGGGGTGGGGGAGAGGGGGGATGGATCACAGCTTCCCTCAGCTCAGTCATTAATTGCACCTGTACATGTTAGGAGGCAGAACCTCCCCCATTTCCCACCCCTATCCCCCTCCTCCCACCCCTATCCCCCTCCTCCCACCCCTATCCCTTTCCTCCCACAGTACAGGTGTTGTTGTTTACTTGGAGACTGATTACTCCCTTCCATTCTCCTCCCCCCTCCCCCATCCCCCATTTTCCTCCCTTCTCCCTCCCAACAGGTGTGTGGCTCACGTTTGGGCAAGTCAGGTTAAAGCGGAAAGGAGTGAGGGAGCGGTCCGCGTGGGAAAGGATTGCCTTTTCCGGCCGCTGCTGGCAACATACCCCGCACACTGGCCACTCCCAATTTTCTCGCCGAACCCAGACCCGGTACCGGACCCGATTGGTTAGGTCGGGGGTGTAGTATGGTTAAGATAAAGATAAGTTAGGTTAGCGCATGTTAGGGTAAGTTAGGTAAGGTTTGCTGAGATTGTTCGAGTAGGTTAAGTTAGGGTTGGTTGTTTGGCTACGTTAAGTCAGGGCATATTATGTTAATTTATGTTTGTCCAAGTAACGTTAGACTTAGTTTGGTAAAGTAATTCATTATTTCACCACTTGTCTGTAACGTTACGACCCATGATGTTTGGTTAGGGTCACACTGATACCCTTCTTACCTCTGACCCTGGGCTGAGGATTGAACACAGGTCTCATTAGTGCGAGGCAGACGCGTTACGACACTACAACCAGCGTAAAATTGAGTGTTGTTTTTCACTACACTCCTTTATGATACTACACTGCCCTTTGTCTTAATTCACACGGGGGGAGGTATGCAGGGCCACTCCTGACACCTCCATCAGTACACAATACTGAGACCAAGGCGCGCTCATACTGCTGGGGGTGACAGCTTGGTGGTTGTGGGGGAGGGTGTGCTCAATGACTTCAGTAAGGCGAGTTCAGGTTTAAGAGTTTCCTAAGTATAGTTCAATGACTTCAGTAGGAGATATTGACTTTCACCCATAGTAACTTAACAGGTGTGAGGTGAAGGTGGACGGAAATAAAGTCCACAGGAAAAAAGAGGCTCATGACTTGTACACGTTGACAACACAATATATATATGATGGCATTGCACCTAGGTTAGGTTAGGTTAAGTTAGGTTTTTTCCGTGCCTTTTTATGTGACTTTTTTCTTGTGACTTTTTTTCCTGGATTCGAGGTGAAACACGTTGAAGCAAGGGTCACCCACTCAAGGTTTCAGCCCCTCCCCCAATCGCCAGGATTACTCGACCGCGTGACCTGGCTGGTTGGTGACCTTGCATGACTCAGTGTGTGTGTGTGGGACATCGATCACTACCTCATTCTCAATCCTCCTCCTCCTCCTCTTAGCTGAAGCCGTGTCCCGTCACCAGGACACATACTCCAGGAGTTTAATTCGTGGGTGGGGAGTGAGTACAGTGGGTGGAGGGGTGAGTACAGTAAGTGGAAGTGATGAGACAAGTGGGTGGAGTAAATTATCACCCACACACACACACACACACACCCACACACACACACACACACACCCACACCCACCCACACACACACCCACTACGTAATAGATAACAAGAAAATATTTACAACCGACGAAATACAGTATTAAGGTCCCAATACACTGTGTCGTTACCTGGTTTCCCCAAGTAACTTACCCCCACTACACGGTCACACCTGATGCTGCTGTAAACAACGCGTCCGAACTCGTCTGTCCATTTCAAACTGGCAGAAACATGTTTGAATTCTCCTGGGA